AAAAATAATGTATCGTAGCCGTTGAGTGATTTGTCGAAAGGAGAGTGTCGTGTGTTTAAATCCCAGTTCTTATTATTTTCCAAAGCATAGAAAACTAACGGGAAGGGGGCATTAGTCGTGAATGGTCCTGAGCAAAGTATTCGTTTCAAGCGGCGCCGCTTATGACAGTCACGAGGCTGTTGAGAATCGCGAGCCCATCGCACCGGAGCTGAGAGACTGCGATTTGTTTCAATTCATTAAGCGGATTCCCGTCCATTGACCGGTGACGCCGTTGCGGCCTCGCTTTTAAGAATTTGTGACGTTATTCATTCTTTTTATTGTTTAAGCTAAAACTTTGATATACAGCCTCCGAAGCGGCGCCGAGTTAAGTAGATATAATTATTCATACCGCGCTACAGTTATCAGGTTTAAATCAATGCAACGACGTCAGCGGTGGAAAAACGTTCGTTCGTTCTATGATATAAACCGAGGAGTTTATGTTAGTGTTGGAAATGAAAGCATTTTTTTCGAATAAGCATTCGTGTACGTTAGAGTCAGCCACGACACCACCATGGGATCTATAAAAAGCACGAACGCTGGTTTGTTCGAACAAACAAAAAGGCCTACGCGATTTTCGAATAGTTTCTAATCCAACGTGTAGCAAACGCGAGAAGCAGAACTCGATAGCGTTGGTATTGTTTGGGTTATTGATTGATATTACAACAGCGCGTGACATCCGCTTGGAGGACAAGAGGCTTATTGATTTTGCCATAATCATTTGTCTTTTGATATATTCCACAAAATAAACATTTGTTTTAAAACAGTAAAAGACGCTTTCTTATTCGTCCATCTCGTAATGATTTTTTTGAGTAAATCCGCGCCCGATTTTGTTCTCCGGGCGCCCTTCGTCCCGCGCCCCGCGCGCCGCGCCCCTCGCGGTGGAGTTAATTAAATTTAACGACCGCCGCGCGTTTTATTAAACGCTATTTATTCTCATTCGCAGGACGTATACCGTTAAGTTAATTACAGGACGAGAATAAATCTCACTTTTTACGAAACAAAGACACGGTCTTTCCATCAAATTCGTTCAGAAAGGCAAAGGATATCTTAACGGACAACGCGTTATATTTTGTTAATTTCATTACTTTACGCGTCATTGAAATAGTATGTTATTGCAGAGGCCGGGAAGTAAGGGATTGAAGAACGAGAATTAGTTACAAGGACGAGCGCCAGAGACGCCGTGTATTAATACGAGTCAAGAAAGTCCCGTTCCCGCCGCTTATATGTATAGTTCTTTTCTCAAACAATGTAAGGAAACAATAAAAGACTAAAGGGAGGAAAATGTGTAATAGGAAATATTTAAAAATATTAATTAATATCAAATGAATATTTTACACGTCAGGACAATTTTGGTGAAAGCAAATGGTATTGTTTTCTTAGACACGTTAAGGGTAGTCTGATGAAAGTTTCGGAAGTTATGTATCTTGCTTTGTTCTTAGTCGGTAACAAGTTCTTCATGGCTATTATTACCTCTCGTTTCAAATTAGCCAGAGTACTATCCGTTACTGTATTTTCGTTATCGGTCTTTTCAATAAAACTAATTAGGGAAAAACAGAAAACAATACTAAAGCACGTTAGTAATTTTACGCGGTAACACTGGACAGTTTTGGCTATATATTTACATACTTAGTTCATTGTTCGTAGATAGGTTTAAAAGTTTACAGCAGCGGACAGTCACGGTTTTTCGTACTTACTCAGCAGGCCTTGGCTGGGAAATAATCACATCGTGCATAAATGACAAATTTCCGTGTTCATTTTTGAAAGTAATGCCAAACATTTCCGAGCATGTTTGAGACAGAAAACATGAATTTATATTAAATTATTAGTGTAGATAAGGGTCAAAAAAGTTTATTATCTGTTTTTGACTGACCTGTATAAAAAGGTACAAATACTTGTTATTTATTATTGTAAAGAACTGTTACTACACATATATAATTATTTGATCACCGCTGTAATAGGTTCTTGCTTCCCAAAACATGAGGCGGGGCGCAAACGCGGGCGCGGTGGGACGTCGGGCTAACGCGAGCGCTGAACAAATTGCGGTCGCACAGGCATCGTGATTAATAAAAACCTTCTGGCATATACCAGTGAGCCGGAAATCACTTTATTTGCCCATTCGAGCTTTGTCCAAAGAGGTGGCAGTATTCGTGTAAACCTCCGCGCCACTCTCTCGCAATCTGGTCATATCTTTTCTAATAGACATTTTTGGTCGGTTTGACCTATGTTACCTGGCTTGCTACCTCGTTTTTAGAAGGAGCAGTCTGCTACATACGTTCGTAGCCACTTCTAGAAAGCATGTGACTCGCTTCGTTGCGCTCGTGAGAGAAGCTGCGCAGCTGAAGGGCGCCTCGCGATTGTGCCGCTCTCGCTGATGAAACCGTATCGTCGTCTCCAGTGTGTACTTAGTTACATCACAATCCAATTGCGCAAGAGCACATTTACTAGTCAAGTTTACAAATCTTCTATTCTCATTTACATTTCATTTACTAGTTTACCAAGAACGCTGTAGGTACTCAGTCGGAGGCACAACTTTCTTGAAGAATGACGAGTGCGTATCACAAAACTTATAAAAAAAAGTATAAATAATCGAGAAATATTCACTTTAACCCTGAGTTTAAAAAAGCAGGTCCATATCTTAGTGAAACGTTTTACAACGTATAAATATAGACAAAAGCAACCACTCGACGAGGGATGTTAGGGCCCATTATGTCGTGACGACAGATAGTCGTGCAGTTGAAAGTGTTGTGACTCGTATATTTAAATGAAGTTGTTCACATATAGTACAACACGATTGATTTTTGACGTTACGGCGACAGACTGTCGAGACAATGGGAAGAGCTAGAACGACAGTCGTCCGACTATAACAACAACTGTAACACATTTTTTTTGGTAGATCTCTTGAATACCACAACAAAAACAAAATTTATATTCTCTCCTTGGTAATTTCACCATTCTTGTACAACATGTCACTTTGACATTATAGTTTAAAATATTTAGTAAATTAATTTAAACTCTTAAGTGTTGGTGTAATCTATTATTTAATCCATTAACATATATATTACCTCAGAAAAGACACTCAGGAAAAATTCCTTCGATCCGGTCGGATTCGAACCGACGTCTTCTTGCATACCGTGCCAGACGTTATACCAACTAAGCCACGGAACGAACCAACGGACCTCACGAATTTTTCTATGTAATCACATAGAAAATATATAATATAATATAACAAACTAGTGGAGTAATTTCACAAAAAATATTTGAATATCAATTCAATAAAAATTTAATTAATATGAACGATTTTTCTATAAAATCAATATCGTGAATGGGTACCCTTTAGTGTGACATATTATTGAAAACACCAACTCTGGCTAATTTTTCTTGTATGGTAACGCAGAATACTAGTGCTGCGTACCAATTAACTCGATTTTACTTCTGTAGTCGAGCCTCATGTAAATTATAGCTTTTCTTTAATATTTCCATGTCGAACGCCGCCATTTACGTTGCCAAGTACTTCCTGTAAAGTAATATACGTAAACCTGGAATCGCCATGTGTTCTAGCGGGTTTAGGTGATAAGACTTGGGAGCTTCATCTAGATGAATCGATAGATTGTCTGTGGCGTTGTTCGCGGGTAATATCTCTCAGGAGGAATTCGGCGGAAGCTTGTCTTTTCTGTTCGACACATCGGCTCGCAAGGTGTTCCAGATGCTTACATCTTATACGGTGATTTATCCCATTGGGGGCATAGGCCCCCAATGCCTCTTTTTATAAAGTAACCAGGAATAGCCAGATGCCGTAATTATGGGTCTCGGAACCCTGTACCAAACATAAAACCCGTGTCACCGGACCGCATGGTGAGTTGACCTCTGGATTCTTTCCTTCGTTAGATGTTTCGTCATTTATTTCAATGTAATGTAACAATCTGTATTGTTGCAGCGTTTTTTTTATGTCTATCTTTGGTACTTGTAATTTCAAATCTCGCCATTAACTGAATGGCTGAGACAAATCTGCTGTAAACTAACTCCCCCCCCGCGCGACCATCCGTGAGTGGACACGTATTTTGGAGTGCTCCTATTAATTTTAAAATTGACAAAGTGCCCTAAATACAGTTTCTTCAAAAATAACTACAATTGCCTGATAGCCCGGTCTCTGAGCTACATAGTGCGCAAAAAAATTTCAAAAACAGTTTAAATATCATCATATAAACGGCATTTTATTTCTCAAACGACATCCAAATTTTACAATTTAAAAGACAAAGCGATTCGCTATCTTCGAGTGTGTGATTAGTGGATCGTCGCTCTGAGGTCAACGACCGGCCTTCACGTACGTCACCGCCAGAGCGAAAAATCAGCCAATGACAAGGACAGTTTTGTTTGGTTGAAGTGCTGCGCTGTGATCCATTATTTTACTGAATGTGAGTTACCCACCAAATCCGCTTTCTATAATAAAATAACACATAGCAGCGGCGCAACTTGGTTTCTATGGAAGTGTCCAAATAAACTGCACGGTAAGCAATTTTGTATGCGAACGTCGCGACCCGACCAGTCTGGCTGACCCGTGTGTTTTGGCTTGGCTCTTTCATAAGTGCACGGATAGCGTAATTGCTTGAAATCCTCGATAAACGACTACTTTGTCTGACCTCTTACACTTCATCTTCCACCAACTCGTTATACAGGAGTATACACTTGATAAGGCGAGATATATATTGATTATTCTACACTATTACTGTTTACCTGTCCCAACTATTAAAGGTTGCAACTGCGTTCCCCGGCTTCAATAATTAATTTTTTTACTAAAAGGATCATCTTATAGGTCAAAGATGTCGCCACAACTTGTCAGTAACGTGTCATGCGGTGGATGTTCACAGAAAATTGAAAATAGGCAATTCCTTTCTTGCTATCATTGCGCTAAATGCTATGACCTTTTGTGTGCGAATGTAAGTGAAAAACGATTTTTTAATACTATGACGGCGGAGCACAACAAGAAATGGAAATGTCTGGAGTGTGTAAGCAAGGAGCCAAAGAGCGATAACACAAACACACCCGTCAAATGTGATCTACAGCAATGTACTGGCGGCAAGCAGGACGGTAAATTCTCTGCAAATGTCATAATGCGTAATCGCATCGTTACAACAAGTATTTCTCCAGCTGAACCACTGGCAAAAGTAACCGCAGAGTCGGAATTGGTGAATGAGCTGCGGCTGTTTAAAGAGGAGATGAGGACTGAGATACGGGAATTTAAACTGATCGTATCTTACTTGACTGCAGCTATCAACTGTTGTAACAGGCGCATGGATGATTTGGCGGCTCGTGTGGAAGTCGTTGAACGGAACCAACTAGATGGACCTACTACGGCCACCTCCTCTCTAGAGAATGCAATATCCGAACTTAAGCTAGAGTTGAATGATCGTAACCAAGAGCTTCTGAGAAATGACATTGAGATTGCTGGAGTGCCGGAAGAAAACCACGAGAGGTCCATCCACCTCGCGCTGACCGTAGCATGCAAACTTGGTTTGAATTTAGAAGAACGTGATATAGTTAGCGCGGAGCGAGCAGGCCCGATAAGGCACATGGAAGAAGTTAGAACGCGCCCGCGCCCGATCGTAGTGCGGCTCGCTCGTCGCTTGCACCGTGATCAGTTGTTAGCGGCCGCGCGTGTGCGCCGCGGGACGACTACTATGGGTTTAGGGGTCGATTCTGACAAGCATCGAGTCCACATTAATGAGAGGTTGACACGCACGAACCGGCAACTCTTCTACAAAGCGCGCGGAGAAGCTTTGCGTGCTCATTGGAAATATGTGTGGACGCGAGACGGGAAGATTTTTGCACGTAAAGAGCACGGTTCGTCACGATATCGCTTGCGTTCAGACAAAGATTTATGTACTGTTTTTGGACAATAACACTGTTAGCTCTATATAATTACAATGTAAGCTACGTTTATGATGTTGGTCTTGGACCTGTATTTAAAAGGTTATCTGAGTTTTATACTTTTGGTTTGTTTTATATGTCTAATTATTCTTCTGCTGTTCTTTTTTCTATTTAATAATGAAAAAGCACATTTAAAGTTATCATTATCTCTCCTTTTTATTGTTTGGCGAGGTTGCAATAGTTACTATTCTACCAAAATGTTGAATTCGCTAAACATACATACTGTAAAATTATGTTTTTCCACTAAGAAAGTAACGGAATACCTGCTTGTATTAGACACATTATATACTCAATTCTCATCACGTCATATACAAGTAACTTTCAATTTTTATGACACTTTACACATACACATTTTTAACATTGGTTGGCGGCACATTACACTTCTTTCCAAAATTTTTAATGCATGACAAGTTTATTCTAATTTTCATTGCCTTCTCTTTACAATTTATAAAGTATAAGGGGTTGTCTATTGGGCTGCTAAACGCAGGATCTCTTGGTACGCGTCATGAAGAGTTCAATGTGGCTATGGAACGTTTCAGCGTTGACATTATGGCGATCAACGAGACCTGGCTGTGCGCTGGGCAAGAGGGTCGAGCTCCTGCGCCTCCCGAATATCGTCTACGTCACATTCCACGCCCGGCTAGTGTTCGCTCTCGCGGTGGTAGTGTCGGATTTTATATCAAACATGGTATCAATGCCCGTGTCATCACTCATCCACCTGCCCTTTCCGTGGAGCAAATGTGGTTGGGTATTAACATAAACAATATTAAATTTACAATTGGAACAGCCTACCGTCCTCCGTGGCTTGACGTTGATGTTTTTCTTGATGCACTTAGTGAATCTATATCCTCACTCGGAAATTATGACTTTTTAATCCGAGACTTTAACATAAATCTTTTAAATAAACAAGATATTAACACAAAAAAACTGCTCGACTTTTTGAATTGTATGAATATAAACCAATTTGTTGCAGAACCTACTCATTTTACAGCGCATAGTGAGACGTTAATAGACGTTATTTGCTCAAATGCCTGCATTGACAATGTTTACTTGTGAATTAAGAGTCAAAAAAGTTAAATTTCCTGTAACACGTATGTCGTTTAGATCTCTAAAAGATATAGACCTGGAGGCTTTTAATTGTGCCGTGAACTCATTTGCTTGGGAAAGCTTAGAAACAACCAACGTGAATGATATGGTTGAAGCCTTCAATAATGAGATACTACATCTATTCAATTCATTTGCTCCTGTGAAATCAGTAATTATAAAAGAAAATTCCAGGGATGTGAATTTTCTTTGTGATTACTCCCACAGTGAAGCAAATGATGAAGTTACGGGACGAGGCTCATTCTAAAAGTAGACGCACTAAAGCCGATGCACATAAAGACTTGTATAAAGATATGAAAAGCATTGTAAACGTTGCTATCCAAAGTGAAAAGTACGCCTATTTTAATCAGCACGTTGTAACAGAACATACCTTCCACAAAATAAAATAAAAAATGAATTAGCGGAAATTCGATGAGTATAAATATAACAGTAATGAATTATTAGTGAAAGAAGTAGGTAAATTTTAAATAACATTTAAATGTAAATAATCACATTCGAAGAATTTCAATAGCAAATGACTTCTTTGAATTCGTCTCAGTTCACACTTTTGAGCTGCAGGAAACACTTAACAAATAACGTATGAATTATCGGTTTTGCTGAGTGTATTTTTGTTAGGGTTGCTAAACTTTGGTAACTAATGAAATTAAATTATTTAATAAAATATATAATAATAGTAGTAAATTAAATGCATACTATCATTATTTATGCGAGAGTGTGTTTATGTATACATATATTACAGATAAACAATATGATAGAGTGAAGTTAGCTTTACTCAAAGGTGTATAATTTAGATTCGCAAAGCATATAAAAAAAAATCAAATATGATTTTATTTAGTTTTACACAATACCTTTTATTATTTATTAATATTTAGTGAAAGAACAACACATACGAAAGATTCTACTTGTTTCTGATGAAGATTTATCCCACCAGAACAAATACTACCTATTTTATTATTACTCTCTTTATTAATAATGATCGATTTAGATATTTTATATATACGTATTGGGTTAATTTTCTATATTAATTATTATTCTATGAAAGCGTTCCACTGCTGAGTCTAGGGTACTCAATGAAACGTTACGGATTTTTGCCAGCCCTAGAAATTCTCCTAGAAATTTGACAAAACACTACACATATAATTTAATGATTGGGAACCAAGAAATTTGAAGAAAACACTTCATGCAGGATTTATTGATTTGGGACCGTGTGACCGGGGTGTTTTCAAGGGTTTTTTTGGAACATTCTAGAACATTCGGTGAGGAGACGAAGCGGGGAAGGAAGGTGTGATGCTAAGGGTACTGAAATCATGAGTCAGGGGGGCCCAAGACGTGATCGACAGCACCTGAAAAATTGGAAGGCTGGGTCTCAAATCGCGGTTGATATTTCATTTAATTTTAGTAACAAAGAGAAGCTTGTGTGAAAATCTAAGTTTTAGTGTCGTTCGCGCTATTAGATAAAATCTAGTATAATAATTGTAGTTTAATTTAGGGTTTAAGTCGTTAGACCATTTAGGAGACGTCGCGTGTGAAATTTAAGGAATTGTTATTTTCGGGTGATTTAGCGAGAGATCGGGAGTGCGTGTCTAATACTTTGTTAGGGCATTCGTACTGAATTTGTTTATAAATAATCTAGTATTTAGGAAACGCCGCGAGTTAGTCTATATAGTGCTTACATTTGTAACAATAGGTAGATCATTGCTTTAGTGTGCGGGTTATATAGTGTTAAGACTCTAATTCGAATCTAGAAGTGATTTAGGTCTTCAGCCGTGTATAAAATACTTTGTTAGGACATTAATGTTCGTAAAGCACGTGCGATAGGGGTAAGACTGTGATCCGAATCTAGAATAGATTTAGGCCTTCAGCCGTGTATATAATATTTTGTTAGGACGTTAATAATATAGTTGTGCAATAATACAGTACTCAGGAAGCGTCGCATATTAATTTATATAATAATTACGTTTGATAGTTAGAGTCAGTGTCCGCGAGCGCGTGTGTGAGACAGTGTTAATAAGACTTTAATTCAAATCTAGAGCTGATATGGGTCTTCAGTTCCTGGTCTATGTTCCTGGCAGATTTCCTTGTGGGTGCAGCCTTCTAGATGTCTTGTAATAGGTGAGAGATCACCTCTCAGGTATGTGATTTGCATTTACTATGATAGGATACCTACTTATTTTGGGTATCTATCGTTGAGATTTGTTTACGTTTTTTTTTTAACAGTTTTACGTGTGTTGTGTATTTTTTTGATACATTCTAATTATAATATTGCGAAACCTTATTCGACTGATATTCTTTTATTAGTTGGATGAACAGTTACCGAAAAATAACTTAAATTATCTAGCAAACACTAAACCTTGATTTTGTTTAACAACGAGATAAAATTGTACCTTATAACATTTTTATAGAGTATTTATATTGTTTTGAAATTATCAAATTATTTCATATATCTAACTTTGACCTTTTTTGTCACATTTTAATTATAATAATGGCAATTTGCTACGTTGAATTTATTATTTATTACTTCAGCTAAACTATAAAATATAGATTTCATTTAATTTAGTTTTATTCAATCAATTAATCTTAATGTAGAGTTCACAGTAGTTAGGACACCTGGAGTAATTGCAATTTTATTGATTACACGCACATTCTGAAGGTGTCCATACATTAAGCAATGTTGTTTTACTTAATTATAAGAAAAGGTAAACTGTGACAACTTGGTACAATATACTTGACCAATGTTATTGTACGGAAGGATAACAGTAGCGGTTTATTATATCCTTTTTCTTTGGGTATTATCGGTATTGGTTTAAGGTAACTAAGGTGAGGTAAAATTATTTATTAAAGATATATTAATACATAATATTGTGTATTTAATTTCATGTCCTTTCTGCTGAATTAGTGGACATCTGCAGAATGGAATTAGAAAACCAATGAAGTTTGATTGATTTGTTATCTTAGGCTGATATTTGGCATATTTATTACAAATTATAAAACTTTGTCTTGTCAAATTAAAAGCCTTTGTGGAAGATGATACTAAGTTATTTGCGATGATGTTGGATCACCTGTATTCCTTCCATCGCCCTGTCAGATTTACGCCTTGATATCCATGTATATCTCGTTTATGTCTGATTAGCGTATTCCTAGAGCTAGCCGATAATTATTAGAAGTACCTACTACAATACACAGTGACAGTGTTCATGATCTTATATGGAAGGTCTTTCCATTTCCATAAAGATTTAGGACTTCGAGTGTATAAGTTGTTACTGAGATAATTAGCCGCGTGGTCGGATTGGTTGGTATTTAACTTAGGCTTCTGTAAGTTAATACTAGATTAACTTTCAGTGCTTGGTGAACACTAACCCAACTTAGATAAGTCTACTACCAAGGCTTATCGGATAGCGAAATTATATTTCAAATGCTGAATTATCACCTATGTGATTATGATATATATATAATTAATTGATAATTATAATTAATTGATTTCTTCTCTACTTGCTGTACTCAAGGTGTGTAATAGGGATTCTTATTAGTAAAGACTAGGCAGGGTTATGAGGTGGGCCTATTCTTCTTCCTTACCTTTATCCTCTGTCTTCTTGTTTCTTTACTTATATAAACCATATGTAAAACTAGTTTACATTAATGGATATGACTTCTCATCTTGCATCAATTAGTTACTCCAAATCCTGACCCCGGATATCTCCGGATTTCTATGTATATATACTTGAGTTTAAATGACATCGCAGTGTTTTGTGAGCGGAGCTATGACACTATTAACAGTTTCATATCTACTAATTACAATAAGGTATAACAAATACTTTTATTGTTCTACAACGTTCCTGATTGATTGTTCCTGTTAAGATACCCATTTTCG